GAGTTTACGAAGGAGCGGCCGGTGGGCTTGTGGCAACCACATGTGACGACCCCGGGCTGGACTCCGCTTCGTCCACGGTGAAAGCCGATCCGGTGATCCACAGCGCAAAGTTGATGTATTCCCTCAGCGACCAGCACGGATGAGCTCCAGGCATAACGAAGCGGATATCGTCCTCTTTAGGAAAGGCCAAACAAAGTAGTTTCGCTTTTTTATAAAGAATATCTCTTTGGATTTGAGACTTTAGTCTTTGCAACTTTACAGATCTTCTTTATGCACCAAGAGCTTGTAACACTTCAAAGAGAAAGGAAAAATTGAAATCGCATCATATGACCCCTTTAATAGTAAAATATTCGATACAAATACCCACATTTCTGCTACAATACCATGGTGCAGTTAGTGTTACTACAGTAAATCCATGGTAAATGATGGCGATTTGTAGATTGAAAAGCCTTCTGACAGTGTTTCTGCTGTTTGTCAGTGCTTTCATCTGGCTTTAAACTAGTTTAAATCGCCGAGTCATTTGTGTTCTTCGCTGAGTTCAAGCGCTTCACACTGGATCTCACAGCGCTGCTTATAGTGTCGCGTGACCGGGTAAACGCATCTGCTCTAGTGAGCTCGCGTTGCAGTTTGTACTTTGATCTGAGCGGATATAAAGGGTCCGTGTGTCGCGCTTCAAATGAGTTGCGCTGTTTTGTTCCGCTTTTGGCGCATAAACATTATATCGAGCATTTATATCTTTATATCGAGGAACACCTATAGGACATTACATCACACTAAAGGACAGAAATGGTAGTTATTTATTTATTTCTATTTAATTTTTAACATGTCAAAGGAGAAAGAAAGTTTAACTTTGATACAAACAATATCAACATGTTTTTTAAACAAAACAAAAAATCATTTTCATCAACAAAATTCAGTCTCTTAGTCAATCAGTATGTTACTGAAACTCTTCTAGCCCCCTGCTGCACTCTTCTAGAAGGACATGGTTTTCAGAGACAAAATGTATCAAGTTACTACGCTTTCAGAAATATATGGATGAAAAAAATGATTGCCATTTACTAAAATAGACACTTGTACAATTATGCCAGAGGTATTTATTAACATTTTTATGCTTTTCTTTTTAATTTATAAAAGTTGTCATTTATTGAACCATGCTCGAGACAGTCACACCATAGGACAATTTTGCGATTTGGCTCAATAATTTAAAAAAAAATCGAATAACACTGCAGCTTTTATAACAACAGGTCCATGTAGGACAAAGAAATGTTTAACCTTTTACTGCATTTTAAATAACGACAATATTAATTATAGGCCTATTCATTTATATCATGTGGGACAGTGAAAATGCCATGTCACGTCAACAACCCATACACACACACACACACACATATATATATATATATATATATATA